AATCCACACTGTTCCTGCCCTTAGTCCCCGCATCATCGTATTAGCCGTGTCCAAATTCTCTGTGAACACACCAGCTGCAAGACCATAACGTGTTGTGTTTGCTCTTCTTATGACTTCAGAAGTGTCCCTGAATTCATCAACAAATCATTACAAAAATCAACAATTTTTTTTACCCTAATAATATATGATTGAACATGATATACATAAAGTGTTAATTTGATTTTTTTTTCTTGGTTTTTCTTAGAAACCAAATTTAAATATAACTTAATTTCACAAAATTGACATGTAAGGGGAAAGTTACCTATATTTATATATATACATGCTATTTTATCTTAGAATATGAGTTTGAGACTAACTTAACTTATAAAATAAGAAAATTACTATAAATTAATTATATTACTAGTTAATGTGAGATTTTCATAGACTCCTTTTATGTCAAATATTATATATCTCAAATATGAAATTTGTATAAGGATAAACATCTGTCAGTAAATATCCATTAAGTAAAATAATAAATCCAAGGCTAAATACTTATTTTGGTCCCTTATAATCTTTTTTTGTTTCAATGTAGTCCCACTTTTATTTTTGGTCTCAATTTGATCCCAAACTAATTAATTGGTTTCAATTTAGTCCTTAATAAATTAATTAGTTTTAATGTGGGACTTCCGTCCAAATTTCTTTAACGGAGTTAACTGTTGCATAGGTGGATGCCACGTGGATGCATAGGTGGATGCCACGTAGATGCCACGTGGATGCCATTTTTTGAAAACACCTGAAACCAGAACGGGCCGTTCTGGTTCCAGACTGCTAAACATAAACGATCAATGATTATAGTTCACGGTTGTGAATCATGGAAGGAAAAAGACCCAAGGTACAAAGCATTTCAAACACTGAATTTGGTAATATTGTCAATGGAAATTGATAACTTCAATTGCTAAACAGTTAGGCTATACAATGTATTATTAAGGACAATGCAATGTATCACTAAAGGATGAACCACTTACTACCAAATTGACACTATACAGTAAAGGATGAAATGACACTATATTGTCAATGAAATGACACTATACAGTAAATGATGAAATGACATTATTAATTATATTTTAATTATGCTGTTATATCTAATATAATAAATATATTAATTATTTTTTATATTTTATTTTATTGTTTAATTGTTTTTTATTTTGTGGTAAAATTATCTTCATTTTTAATGAAGAAAAAATTTACTTACTTCAAGAGTAAGTCTTGATAGATTTATTCTATTTAATAATTAATGTTCTATATCAAATTTTTAAGAATTTAATTGTTAAATTAAAAAGTTTTTCATGTATAGATCAAATTTATAAAAAATTTTAAAAAATTAAAAATCATATAATACTTCGTTAAATTAATTCAAATTAACATATAAAATATTTTTATTTTAAATGAATGTAAAAATTTAGAGGACACTAAAAGAAAATAAATTAATAATTTTATTATGTTTATCCTATTAATTTTTATCATTTTATTCCTCTAATTTTAAATAAGTTACAAAAAATTATAAAGTGATACTTAAATATTTCTTCAGATAGAAAAAGAAAAAGAAAAAGTTATTATTCTATTTATAAGGCAATTGTATTTTATAAAAATAAGTAATTTTAAAATTTTTACCATAAAAAATATTTTTCAAAATTATTATATTTTTTAATAAAATTAATAAATAATATTCTATTACAATTTTGGAACGGCTCGTTTCCGATACAAAATTAACACATCAAAAGCGCATCCAGAACGGGCCGTTCTGGTTTCAGGTGTTTTCAAAAAAATTTCATCCACGTGACATCCACCTATGCATCTAGGTGGCATCCACGTGGCCAATAATTAACTCCGTTAAAGAAATTTGGACGGAAGTCCCACATTGAAACCAGTTAATTAGTTAGGGACCAAATTGAAACCAGTTAATTAGTTTGGGACCAAATTGAGACAAAAAATAAAAACGAGACTACATTGAAACAAAAAAAGATTATAAAGGACCAAAATAGGTATTTAACCTAAATACAATGACATCTTAGAATGTAAATTTAACTTTACAAATCTAACTCTAATTAAGAATTCTTGCCTATTTATATACTCTAATTTATTTGTGTTACTAATCAATTTGGAACCCATTACACCATAAATATATTACTTTAAAAATATTTATTTAGCCTCCCAAAATTTGTAAAAAAAAATTATAAATTGATAGATGAAAATTATCATGTGAGTTATTAATTAAGATTAAAAGAAAAGAAAAAAAAGAAATATATGTAAGGTTATAATAATGTGATAAAAAGAGATAAAAACAGTGTCAAAGTTCGAACTTTAGTAAAAATAATCCTTAATAAAAATAATTTTTGATGAAAATAATCTCTAATCAAATTTTATTTACCATTCACTCACTACGAAAAATATTCCATATAATGACATACAAAAAATATCATTATAGATATAATATATGTAGGTATATACTTATTTGACATATAGCTACATACAATTTTAGTATTGATTTTGAATGAGATTTAACAACATATTTTGTGTGTCACTATAGTCTATACCTACACTTTTTAACAATATACCAACATATATTATATTTATTGTGTGAATAAAAGTAGTTTTCAGTGACACGTATTGTGTCACTATAGAGTATGTGTCACTATATGACAATTTTCATGCAATAACTCCTCCAGTCAAATCAAATAATGTAAGATAAAATCTTAAAATACTAGTATAAAACTACATAAAGAAAGAAAGATAAAAAAAAATATATAAATGATAATGAATTATGATGTGATAATATTTATATATAAGTGTTTAAAAAAAAGGAGAATCCTTGGGTGCCCTTTGTGAATAGAGGGTTTTCGTGCCCTCTGTACGGACAACGAATGAGGTGATGCCACGTGTTCCTTAACTCCATGTCATCCACCGTGTTGAAAGTTTGACCAAAAATTGGGTAATTTGATTGATCCGCCCCTGCCCCACGATCCAACAAACCAACCCGGGTCCCCTCTTTTGTCCAATTTGTAAATGTATGCCACCTCATTTTGTTTGCAATCAAACGTGGCTCCATCTACTTCTCTCATTCGAAGGTTCGTATTTCCCTGTTTCGTTCAGTCTCTTGTTGGCTCCATCTTCTTCTCTTTAAGGCAAGGTTGTTTCCCTTCCTATCCCCGTGTTTCGTTGCATGAGTTGTTGTATCTCCATTTCCATGTTTTCCTTTCGTGTTTCGTTGGATCCGGTGTTGTATGTCGATTTCCATCTTGTCCTCATGCATGTTGTTCTGTATTGTGTGTTTTTGGTTGTGTTTGTTTCCATTTGAAAACCTTGCAGGTTGTTGTTGTTGTTGTCATGAAAGGTTGTGTCGATTTCCATTTGAAATCGATTTGAGTTGAAAAAAATCCCAGCTGATTTTCCAGTTTTGTGTGTGGTTCCGGAGGATACCCACCCGTAATCTGAAGTGAACAGTTAGTGGTAAGTTAAATTTTGGTGGATTAAGTGGTAATAAGTTTGCAGTTGTGGTCGGATTGTATTTAATTCGGTAGTCATCTACTCTTGGTTTGACGAATTGTCTCCTTTCGTGTTTCGTTGCCTCCATCTTCTTCTCTTAAGGCAAGGTTGTTTCCCTTCCCATCGTCGTGTTTGGTTGGATCAGGTGTTGTATCTCCGTTTCCATGTTGTTTTCCTTTCGTGTTTCCTTGGATCCGCTCTTGTATGTCCATTTCCATCTTCTTCTCCTCATGCATGTTGTTCTCTATTGTGTGTTTTTCTTTGTGTTTGTTTCCATTTGAAAACCTTGTAGGTTGTTGTTGTGATGAAAGGTTGTGTCGATTTCCATTTGAAATCGATTTGAGTTCAAAAAAATCACAGCTGATTTTCCAGTTTTGTGTGTGGTTCCGGAGGATACGCACCCGTAATCTGAAGTGAACAGTTAGTGGTAAGTTAAATTTTGCTCGATTAAGTCGTAATAAGTTTGCAATTGTGGTCGGATTGTATTTAATTCGCTAGTCATCTACTGTTGGTTTGACGAATGACAACGATTCGCCAATAATATAATGTGGTAAGTTATATTTTCATTATTTTGGCGTATTATAGCCTTCTTTAGGTTCTGTTACTACTTGTAACCTTCATGCAGTGTAGGATTTTCAGTATTCAATGTTGAGAAATTTAAGTTTGAAAAGAAAAATCGAGTTGAACTAAATAGTTTGTGTTGCATTGAATTTGGACTATTATTGACTGTGTTTTTGGATAATGTGTATTTTGGTGAAATATATGATCAGATATGGATAATTTATATAATATAAGTGTTAGTGAAACAAATATGTTACGTGAATAATGTTTAATTTTTTTCCATTAGTTGATTAAGTAATTTTGTAATGCAGATGTCTAACCTTAATGACGAAGGGTTTGTTAATTTAGATGATCAGAAGGAAATGAATGTTTCTAATAACAATGCATCAGATGAAGAAAGTAGTCGAAGTGATGTCGGTTTTGGTAATGAGGAAGATGATGCGCATATTGATAGTAATCATAATGAATACAAAAGTTTTATGGATTTGACTGTAGACGACATATTGGGTTTGGAATTTGGTAGTGAACATGATGCATATAAATTTTACTTTGCATATGGTAAATTTCATGGTTTTGGGATTAGGAAGGATGACATTGGTCATGATGCAAATGGCAAAATAGTAATGCGTCAATTTTTATGCAATAAAGGGGGCTTAAGAGACAAAAAACATCTTATGAGAGATGATAGAAAAAAGGGGCATAGGCCTCTTAGTCGTACTAATTGTAAAGCCAAACTTCGTGTACGGCTTGATCCAAATACAAGTAAATGGAAAGTTGTGTCATTTGAGGAAGTTCACAACCATGAGATGTGCCACTCAAATTATGTGCCATTCATTAGGACTTATCGCGGATTGTCAAGTAGTGATAAGGGTCAAGTTAATTGTTTGCATGAACATGGGGTTAGAGCATGCCATATAATGGGATACATGATGGACCAAAAGGGAGGTCATTTAGGCATTGGGTTTAATAAGAAAGACCTTTTTAACCACATTGAGCGATATAGACATTCTAAAATCCAAGATGGGGATGTTTTGGCTGCCTTAAGTTATCTTCAAGGCAAGGCTGATAATGATCCAATGTTTTATGCTAAATATATGTTAGGAGACAATGGAAAAATGGAACATTTGTTTTGGGCTGATGGTACTAGTAGGTGTGACTATCAATGTTTTGGCGATGTTGTTGCATTTGATAGTACCTATAAGAAGAACAAATACAACAAGCCTTTGGTAATATTTTCTGGAAAAAATCATCATGGGCAAACTGTTATTTTTGGTGCTAGTTTGATTTCTGATGAAACCACCGATACTTATAAGTGGGTGTTAGAAGCTTTTTTGGAAGCTATGTCTCTTCAGCAGCCTAAGGGGGTAGTGACAGATGGTGATGGGGCTATGAGGGAGGCAATTAGGCAAGTATTTCCTATGGCAACACATAGACTTTGTGCATGGCATCTACAAAAGAATGCTTGTCAGAATGTGAAGAATTGCAAATTTTTAGCTGATTTTAAAAAGGCAATGTATGGTAAGTTTACCCCTGAAAAGTTTGAAACATTTTGGAAGGAAATGGTTAGCAAAAACCAGGTTGAAGGCAATAACTGGATTTTGCAAACGTATGAAAAAAGGTGTATGTGG